ACCAAATAAATTGCCATGACGCGCGTTGTTTGCCGAGGTAGGCAGCGAATGGAAAAATACCAAAAGCGGTCAGAATAGGACCTGACATGAGGGTACGAAAATCCTTACCAGGAGACTCGGTCATACAGGATGAGTTAGGCTCCCTAGATGGGGGCCTCGGGATCATTGTAATCACTAGTTAGAGACACAGTTATATGGATGAGTGTTGCAAACAGTGGCGCTCGTGCATCTACTCATTATTCTTGCGACCCAAGTGTATATGAATTCTCTATCTTCTTTTTAACTCTGCTCTACACATTTTGTTCCGCCTTTTGCTCTTTTATCCAAACGAGCAGCCGAAAGACAGGGGCTTTACGAGTTTGTTTATCACACCTCATTGTGATGAACAGCAAACAGGATTGAGAACATATTCAGGAGAACCTATCATACACTCAAGTTGTCTACCGGTCAGAAGACTGTCATGAGTGGAACATCGGAGCTTAAGTTTCAGTTTTTTTCAGTTTGTACAACCATTAACCATGCACTTTTGTGCGCCGGTTTTGGTTACTGTCTTTTAGCTGCTCATTTGGATGAAGAATGGAAGAAAGACAAGAAAGTTTAGAGTAGAGTCGAACAGAAAACGGAGAATCTCAGTGGTCTAAGGTTGCAAATAGATTGAGGAGATACACAAACGCCACTGTTTACGACACTCAGCTATATGACTCAGTGTCTCTAACCATCGGTTACGATTATCCCGAGGTCCCCAGCCAGGGAGCCTAACAGGACCTATGTAACCCAGTCTCCTGGTCAGGATTTTCATACCCTCGTGCCAGGTCCTAGATTGACCACCGTTGGCTTTTTCCAACCACTACCTGCCTCGGCAAACATCGCTCGCCGTAGCCTTTTTTCCACTCGGTATCTGCTTCTGCGAACATCGCTCGCCGTGGTAACCTACCTGGTGACATGCGTAACACATGTCCCAACCAACGTAATCTATGGAGGTCGACCACTTGCTCCAGTGGGCGACCGCGGATATTCAAAATTCTGTCCCTAACCTCAGCATTGCTCGTGCGGCTATCCCACCGGATTCGTGCAATGCTGCGTAGACAGCGGTGTTCAAACACCGACAGTCTACTTTTATCTTGTTTCCTTAATGGCCGAGTTTCTGCACCGTAGAGCAGGATTGGCTGAACTGCCGCGGCTCGACCCTTCACAGACAGCTGGATGTGGCGACGGCGCCACAGATGTCTCAAGTTGGCAAATGCCAACCGAGCCTCCTGTATGCGAGCAGACACTTCATCTGCCTTGAGTACCCTAGTCCATACTGCCAACGTAAGAACCCAAGGTCACGATGGGATTTCGACACGATGCGACAAGCACTAGTTGCACGTATGCCCTTGTACAATAAGTAGTATATGAATGGACAACATTTTCTTGGGAGCACACGACCGGTTTCTCGGCTCTTGCCGCTCGTCAGGCATGCGTATCCGGTAGTCTTGTGTCTTTTCATTCATGTACTGGTATCCAGGAAATGTATCTTCGTCACAATAATCTCATTTGCAACACCGGGTAAAATTGTTTGAACAGCTCTTTCAGAACTAGTCCACTGAAGAATCAATACTATGATTCTATGTTTTCTAGGTGGTTTAGATGCTACTCATCATCATCATTATCATACAGCGAAATACAGGGAAGTGAACTTTACTGATCGCTGCAAAACTCGTAATGCATATGCACTGTTGTTTGATGAACGGTACTGCTAGGGTGTCCAGCCACTAAGCAGGAGAATGATTAGGGTTCTCGTCCAAAGCCTTTACTTCTGACAAGAACCTAACTGCAAGGCAGCGGGTGAAGCGAAGTGGAGGCCCATTTACCTGGATCAATTACTCCTCCAGCATTTTTACCGAGTGAAATGTAAATTCTAGTCGAACCACCAACCTGGAGGAACAGGAGATTGGACTTCGCCCGACCTCTACCCTTTGATCTTTCAGGCATGATTCGATCTGCGGTTTGACAAAAGTCATCCTGTGTAGCCCGTTGGGTCAGAGAGCTGCACAACCCATCACACCACGTCAAGGTGCGGTCCCGTTGTGATGCTACTAACCGCAACAAACGCGACTTAAACGTCCTTATTGAATATTTTACAATAAGTAGTATATATCTATATGGTGAATTTCAGTTTCAACCGTCTGAATGATCAAACGATACCTTGCTCTTTGATATCTTAGGAGTTGGGGTTTTTTGTATTCCCAAAACTGAAAGGATAAGGAGTTCCGGAGATTCGAGCATGCTGTGCATGTGTGCGTGATCAAAAGATGAAAACACACGCATACATACATAATCCATGACTTGACAAGCACAGCCAATTGCCAGAGCCAACCAGTCACAATAAACCTGTTTTCCAAGCCACACATTATAATCAGTGCACTTATCCACACGCTGGCATTCATCTTGAGGCATATGCACCAACACATGCACATACATGTTTGTGACACGCATGCACATACGAATGGGCAGCCCAGACACATCAGCGTGCCTGTGTTTGAGTGTGTGCGCGCTTGATAGGAGTTGAGAAACTTTGAACGGTCGATTCTTTCGATCCGGCAAAACCGGTGAGAAATCTGTCAATCTAGTTTGCATACCGGAGAGAGAAAAACAACCACAAAAACCCTGGTCGGTGTTTGCTTTTGTCTCACTGTTTGTGTCTGTCTGCTATTTTGTTTGTTTGTTACTTTATCCCTAAGCTATGTCAAATGCGTTTACACGTGGTCTAGGTGACGACCAGTGGTGATGTGGTATGATGATGATGATGATTACTAACTACCACGTAAGGCTTTCAATCACAAGGCATCTGCATCATGTATTTTTTTAAGAGCCACGGGAATTCACCTAGCACTGAGTTAAACAGGCCAATGTTTGTGCTTTGATGGCATGTTCCAAATTAGAAATTGTTGGGCGAACCGATCGTTTTTATATAATGGTACGATTGAAGACCTAATGAGTGGTGTACAGGGACTAGATCGGATCACCGGAATGAGTAAGGAATGCTGCGTGGCTTTCGGGTCTGATAAATAAGTGTTCAAATAGATCACTGGAAACAACGGGTGTGTTGTCAATGTCCATTCAAAAGCATCGCCTATCGCTAATTTTGCACGTACCAACAATTTCGGTCAAGGTTTGCAACAAACGTGTCTAATGTGGTACATGTATAAATAAAACACTTTCTGAAGAAAGCCAACAGTATGTCACATATCAATGCATTTTGTTACGAATCTCAGTAGAACCTGAATGATGTTGCACGCCAAACAAAAACTGTGCTATACGAGAAGAGCAGACTGTTTTCATTACGTGTTGCTGTACAGTAGTGAATGATAAAATGTGTAAAAAATAATACCATCACCACCTAAGAAGCAATGAAGAGAATTAAGTTTCCGCCCTGGGAGCGGAGGGGGGGGGGCTTGTGGATATGAACTACACACGGTCCCCAAAAGGCTGAGCGATAGCGTAGCTGCTAATCACCAACTGAAGAAAGACAAGTGCGAAGGGAACATAATTGTCCGTGAATGTTGTGGATCAAACCTATTCCACCGTTGAGCGAACGGAGTGTGCATAAACTACGGAACATTTTTTCCTATCTTCAGAGAGAGAGAAACAGACAACAGACTTTATTGTCATCACCTCTTTTCCATCGAGATTGTGATTGATTGGTTGCCCCAGGCCCTATTATTCAGGGAGTTGGTAAATCTCAACATATGAGAAGTCCTTGTGACTATGAGGAACTTGTCAGTATTGGACCGACAAACAAAGCGTGGATAACTCGGAGGCACAACGTAGAGTTATACGCAACTGTGTGCGTGTGGAAGAACCGTTATTTTTTAGTTGATATGACCTTTCCCCATTCGGGAGAGTTTATATATATATATTCAGCCCGATCCGGAAAAAGCACGATCAATCTGTGCCCTCAAGAAAGAACTATTCATAAAGATTCCGTTTAAGAGGCATCCACATCCCGAAAGTTAAAAACGGTCACTGAGAGCGGCTATGAATTCGACGTTTTCCGCAACCAAACTTAGATCGAGGTTCCCTACATCACCGGTATCGCGAATTCAAAGGAAAGACGAACTACAGAAACTGCTCACTTTCATATTATTTCACTGCCTTAAGTGCTTCTGTGGCGCATGTTAGATGAGACGTATGGTAAGGTGTTTGTCATAGCCTGTTAAGGAGCACCACTCGCGATGGTTAAGTAAGGGGAAGGCAGTGAATAACTCCAGCGTAATCGTGGATCATCTCGTAGACATTAGATAGCGGATCAAACCAAAGCAAGCTTTCAATGTTGTGTATCGCGTACCACTTCATCGATCGCACAACAGCCATGGCGGAGGCGACCACCATTTGCTCGCTGCGTGACGGCCATCGAGTCGATAGTCATCGAGACAGCGAACTGAGGATCCTGAGTTCGAATCCCGCAACCGCCATCTGTCTCCCTCCCTAGACAGCCTTTGTCTCCGTGTGTGGATATATATATATGTAACAGTGACAAAACAGAGAGTTACCCTGGTTAGGATGGGCATACTAAACTATTTCAATAAAAAGGGTAGATGAATGTTTTAGTATTAAAATTGCACAGCCTCTGATGGTTTGCCTCCAGATATCATCTAACAGACTATAAAGCAAACAGGAGACGAACGTCAACCCGGTTACAAATCCATCATTACGAGCAGAAAATGATAAACCGGTGCTATGGTTTTCATCATATTCTGATATCTTTGGTTCTGAAACGGAACACTTTCATTTTGTTGATCGGTGCTAAATTGTGCGACACAACCACAGTCCTTTTGGTCCTTTTTATTCGAAAATATGTCGAAAACGAGTATCATGAGGCAGTCCCAAGCACATCGTACACAAATAACAATCAATTCTGTTCGAAATGTTACCCCTCAAATGAAAAAAGACCGGTGGATGAAAACGTACCCCACGAATAAAAAGCTCATTTTAGAAGATAATGAAATTAGGATAAATCAAGAATAGGACAAACACTTACCAATCGATGAGATTCTATCCACAATTCCATTGACCACAGCAGCAGAGTAAATGGCGTTCTGTGTGGCTGTCTGTTCATCACTCGGTTCGGACAGAGACGGTTGTCGGGACAAGGGGGATCCGGTGGTACAAACGGGGAACGTGACTGGGGCCCGGTCACCAAACGAACCAGTGCGATAACCCGCTACGACGACTGAATTCGGTACGGTCGTTTCATCCAGAACAGAGACGTTGCACTTGTTGTCGAGAGAATCGGCATACAACTGCAGTCCGTCTCTAGTGGTTCTTTGTTCGAGGGACAGGTGAGCATCTGTCGAGACGACTCCATCCTCAACTGTGCGACTCTGGCTGGTGGTTGATGAAACTCCAGGTTGTTGTGGATAAAGATTTTGTGCCTCGGGAGCTGAAGATTTTCGTTGAAGCTGTTGTTGCTGTTCCCGGAGCCGTCGTTTCTTTCGGTAATACACCTACCAATAGACAGCGATAAGCAGTGAGAGATGCTGATGATAACATTTCCAAAACGTCATGCCGTTAAAAACGAAAGAGAAAAACACTGTTGTGAATGAATTTCGATAAAACAGGCAAGTGCTTTAAGCAGGTTGGGATAATGCATTTTTCAGTCAATGGGTAATGCACCAGGTAACACATTAGAATTCCACCAAAGATCATACTACAAATAAGGATCATAAATGTGCAGCATAGTTCGGACTGAATGAACCACCACGTCCCACGAATCCAAGGATATCCAATTTCCTTTAATGGCTCGATCTGCCGAGGATATGATTTCGGAAATTATTATCCTCATATAACAATGATAGAACTGAACATGATAGAAGGGTCACCGAACTAATTTAAAGCATGCTGTGTGGGCCGTGGTTCGCTCTATGAAGACCTCGCCAACTAGAAATAGTTTGTGCAGTAGTGCAATTATATTTGGTACGCATCCTATAGTGTAAATGTGAAAATTTTTCAGAGTAGCAAGCTTGGATTAGCAGATTTGATTGTTAAGAGGCGCCAGGCACTCTTGATGTTTTTGGGTGTGGGTTTCAATCCTCGGGAGATCGTTAATTCCCCACAATTTCATGCATTTACATACAATGGCAATGTTTGTGATAACCGACAAAGAGCACTGGACAGCTGTTTTATCCTGTTTGGGACTCGTCAGCAGTGCGCACTTTTTGTGCCCTTTTCAAGACTCAAATCGCGAACGTTCGTGTTGGGACTTCAAACCCTTACCCCTGAGCTACACGGTCAACGATCATCACATTGTGTGAATGGCTTAATCAATTTTTTAGAGTAGCAAGCTTGGATTAGCCCATGCGATTGTTAAGAGGCACCAGGCACTCTTGATGTACGCACTGCTGACGAGTCCCAAGCAGGAGGAAAGAGCTGTCTAGTGCTCTTTGTCGGTTATCACAAACATTTGCCTCGCACTTTAATGTGAAATTCTTTTTACCGATTGGGATTGACCCCGTACTCAATGCATGTTTTCTATCGAGACAATAAAGCGAGCAGATGTTTTGTTACTTAAGCAGCAACATCACGAAAACAAAGGCCCAGTTAGTTTTGATAATTTATGACTTACGTCAGACGTGGTGGAGTGTATGTTGCCACAACTATTTGTTCAGCGTTACTCCGTGGTTTAGAACAGATGCTAAGTCAGTATCTGTGGTCAAACACGGATGTCTTCGCAGCGTAGCAAGTTTCTGGTACAGTAACCAGACTGGCACAATTGATACAGGTAGTCGATGCCGTGTTCGGACGCAAGTGTACGCGTCCACACGAATGTCTTTCGATAGATTTTGAGGCAGACAATGATCACATGAGGAGGGGGAAGTATCAGTCAGACTGCCTCTTGAGAAATGAAAATCCTAAAAAATAGACTGGCAGAATAAATTCTCTATTTGGAATCCACATGATCAAGCCGATTTACAGTTGAGAACAATGCGATACAGATCATTTTCCAAAGCAACATGTGTCCATCGAGGCAGAAAAAAGAAATATGCCACAATTTTTTTCTATCGCGTCAGAACGCTCGTCCGACAGAGTTCGCGGTGACCATTTTAGGGACCAATGTTTAGACGGGAAGTATTCAGATTAATATTACTTTGTCGAAAACCAAAAACTCACCTCATTTATATGTTTGTACGTCAGAATCAGATTGACCGACATTTTTCTCAAGGGTATTGTGGACGGATCACGACTCTGTAGTATGACTGTGGGTTCGAATGGGCGTGCGCTCGAATGCAGCAACGAAGCAGTGGTAGCCCCGCCACCATAGGGTACGCCAGCGAGTCCGGATCGGAGAACTACATGACGTGAACCTGCTGATGAGGATACGATTGCCGGATGTTCCATACCGGCCGGGGTACGGTAGAGGAAGAAATTATCATTAGAACCCTGATTTGCGTAGGCGGGTGCAGCCAAGGCTGCAGCTGCAGCGGAAGCATCCATGAGCCTTTGACGTGCACTTGCAGCTGGATCATCTGTGTGTGCGGTTGAATGACTGGTNTAGCCACTGTGACGGAATGGATGGTTCCGACGGATGAAGCAAGTTCGTCCGGATCGTTCAAGTTGGGATGAAGATATGGATTGAGCACAGGCCAATTCGTAGGTGAGTGTGAGGGAAGCACGGTAGATGATAGGGGAAGTGGACTGGCAAGTGGGTTTGTTCCGACGCTATCATTAGAAGCAGAAGATTGTGTCGTGGGTAGGGAGGATTGTTCATCCGTAGTAGCACGTGACAGAGCAGAAGAAAGTGACAACGAAGTCGAGGATGTTAACCCGACATCACCCACCCCCGAAGATACTGGTTGTTGTGCGGACGAACCATGCATCCTATTGGCATCATGAACGTAAACCGAACCAAAGTTCGTCGCTGAATCAAGAAACCACGAGTGGGGCAGAAACATTGCAGAACGGTCGCCATATACGTCCAAACAATGCTGAGAACAACTTTTATTCGGATCAGATGTTGGGCCGAAATTCATGAAGCTGGGTGAATTACCTCGCTCTTCCACTCCCATTGGATGCATCATAACACCACAAGAGAAGGGTATTTGACCACGGGAAAGGGGAGGTGGTGGTGAAGGCCGATGTCGAGCAAATGATGGCAAAGCATTACAGCTCAAATTGGCTTCACCTAGTGCCGATGGCATGAAATGTCCGATATCGTAATCACCGGAACCCCGATCACCCGAATCGTCTGTGAACCGAAAATGTTCTTCGGGTAATTCACTAACCAGTAGGGCGTCTTCATCATCGTAATCTACTTCGGCCGTACCCCTTAGATGTGCGCTGTTAGTGTGCAGCTCATCACTGCTATCTTCTTCATCATTCCCAGCTACAGTATCCGCAACTACATTGGTAGCAACCGGGGGCGCTACAGATAAATCCAAATCAGTCACAGATTCACGCGCAGAGCGGCTTGAACGACGATGCTCATCGTATGTGGTTTGCTGCGGATAGTCCAACGATAGAAACTTCAGCAGTTTATTGTTCGGTTGACAATGACGACTGGGCGAACAAGCAAGATCAGGGTACATCACAAACCCTGTTCGATTTAGCTGGTATCCCAGAGATCCAGGGGACTGAGTGGTTGACATAGGCACACGGATTACTAATTTATAAGACGGACATCACTCGTGAGCTAAACATATCCGAACGAAAAAGCAGCAACCGCAGGTGGTAAACACATTGATTTGTATTTGATCAGCATTCTTCTATAAGGTCATAAATGCGAAGGCGGATAACCCGAACGAAACAACAGGCAACTAAATGCAGAAACCACCAAGACTCAGCGAAATGAAGGTGGCTCGGTTGATCGTCAACTCATTTGGGTGTGAGCGTATCTAATGGGAAGGAGGGAAAAATGAGGATAGTAAACAATTATTGTAAAAACAGTGCAGTTTACGGATATAGCTGACTTTGAATTCCCGTTTCCGGATGTGAGAATATAATTCATATAGTCAACCGTGAAGTGATAAGGAACCAATAACTATCTGAATTTCTGAGTCCCACATATTTGAAAACCTTCCGCTATCGAACCTGACATTTTGACATCCAATATATATATATATCATAATAAGTAGTATATATATCTACGTTTGAGTTCAGACCGTGTGCAAACGCTTTTTTATTACACACTTTAGTGCGATGAACAACAGATGGGGAAAGCCCCACAGCCACGAGGACCTGCTGTTTAGTGATGGAAACCGATAACCGAAGCCCGGGACTTGGAGTAGCAAACCATATAAGGCCCCGCTAGATTGTGTGGTATTGAACCGGACGATAGCAAGCTACCTATCGCCTAAGTTAAGTGGCTGTGATGGGGCTCGAACCTCGAACCATTGGGTTCAACCACAAATACGACCCCTCAAGAGCGGCTGTTTGCTTTTTATCGCAAATCTGCATCAAGTCTCTATACAAACTTCGATGAATAATGCAGGAGCTATTTTGATGAATCGCTCTACAGGATTAAAAAATGATCTGGTTGAAGAAGCTGAATTAATCAGATGTAACCACAGACATATATATATATATATAACACCAATCTTTACAGATACGGTGCCAAAAATAACCATGGGTGAGCGAAAAAATATAGGTACAAAACGGTGAAAATAAAACGGTCAACTTCGGGGAGTAACAATTTGTTTTTGTTTGTTCACTGCATGCCATTTTGAAGTTCCTTTTTGGTTTTTGCTTATTTTTGAGATTGTAGACAAGAGGTGATGCATTCGCGCCACTGACTTCGGTTCGATGCCATATCCCGCAGT